ATAAAGAAAGTGCGCGCTGACTTTTGGAAACTTTTGGAAAGCTTCAATACTAAAGAGCTTAGGAAAAGTAAATAAGGAATAGAGGGTGAGTAAAGCAAATCAAAAGGGAACAAGTAAACTATAACAATAAAACATATTCCACTACAACTATCCCTGCAAAAAAAAAGACATTATTCTGGGGGCCTTTATTAATCTGTGCAGGGAAAAACAAGACATTATTCTAGGGGGCTTTATTAATCACAGGTCAACATTAGTGTCAGAATGTGGGGATCTTTCACTGTTGCTGTGCCTTGAGAGTATCCTGCAAACATTGACCGCAATCAATAAAGCGGGAATAAACTGGGCACTGGGCACCTTATGAATCTTATGAAACCTTTATATAGATTGATACTTTATGATACTTTGCTTGCTTTCGGGCTCATTTCACAGTTCTACAGGCTAGGGTCAAAGTTCCACAGCACAGCTTTACACATGCACCCAGAAAGTGCCAGCCGAAAGCACGTGTGTTGGCCAACAGTGACAACAACGGCCATGGTTCCTTCCTCCTTTGAAGATTGTCTAGCGATTGTTCAAAAGAGCTCAAGGTATTCCAAGGTCTTCGGAGTCTTGGGGTAGCAGCTAGCATGAAGAAACCTGTTCAATTTAGATTGCAAATTTGTAAACTACCCTGGTCGATCTCCGACGCTCTGCGTGACCTTCTCTTGATTCCTTTTGTCTTTGGTGATGTACTTGCTCACTTCTACGGCACTTGTTCATCCAATGAAATTGTGAAATCCCACCATCAGCGACTGCTTGTGGCCAAATGAGCCGAAGCTAAAGAACCAAAACACCTCCCCTGACCTGCCCCCGACCAAGTGAGCAAAATGAAGAAGCAATTGCCCTTCGTAGAAAGGTAAGTAAGCTATATACCAAGCTTGGAATCTAAAGAGATAGGGAGTTTGACGCATTCGATTGCTGGCCTTGAGAGATTCGCGCAAGCGACCTCCGATAGAGAGAATGGCCAGTGTGCCATCACGGCCCTCGCGGGCAATGCGCCTGGGCGACTTCGACGACTTCGAGAAGGAAGGGAGCGACTACGGTGAACAACATGGTGCGATGTCTTTCAACAGCCACAGTGGCAAGCAAGGACGCTACTAGGGGCTCCTGGCCTTACTATTAGGAGCAAGAAGCTACTAAGGGCTCCTGGCATCGCTACTAGGAGCAAGGACGCTACTAAGGTACTAAGGGCTCCTTTGCCAAGCTTGGCACCCTTTGCCCGGCTCCAAGAAGCGAGGTTCTGGCATCTCAAGATCCCCAAAAGCACTGCCTCGAGGAAACCTCAAAGTAAGCGGATGCAAACCAGTATGTGCATCTCGTGTCAGCACGTACAAAGCTCAAGCAAGAAAACCAGTGACATGTAGACTCCGTGTAGAAATTTGATTCTTAAAAGTGCTTTGCTTCTTCAGGTGGGGCCCTTATTAAAGGTGCCCACGATGGTTTCGAATGTTGGTCTTTCGACGAGCTATTTTTGCTTTTGAAATGAGACAAGAGTACATTCAAAGCAAGTGCAAGCTTAATTCAGAAATTCCGTTGGGGGGGTCCATGACCTGGGATACTGGGATGGTTCTTGTAGTGCCCAAGCATCAGACCGGAGCGCTGTTGGCGCATCATCAATCTGTGCCAGAGTATGAACCATGTGAATAAGCTCTGCCTGCCAAAGATTGATTATATACAGATCCCTCGCTCCAAACTGAATTCCATTCATTTTATCGCAAATGCAAATGCTGCCGCGGGTAGTGCAACTAAAGCTCAACATTCTACGCAACAGTGAGACTCCATGTCTGCAAGTCTTCTGAGCATCTTCTCTAGCTTCGATGATCAAAAGTATCCACCTCGTCTGCAGATGCGCAAACCATCATCTCAGGAATACAACCTGCAGAAACGTTCTGCGCAAAGTGCAATGGTGGCTTCGTTGGCATCAGTTCCATTCAAAGCGATTGTGTGGACATGTGTAGGCTCAGTATCCCACTCAGGTAAGAGAGATCAAAGGCTCCACAGTGGGTGGCTCCGTCCTGCGATTCTCTGTTTTATCTACAAAGGAGTCCAAAGTCAAAAAAAGAAGTCATGCATGTGCAAAGGTATCAGCATGTCCATCAGTAACTATCAGCAAAGCTATCGAACCCCAGCTGTCCGCCCCGACAAGGCCAGCACGATCGAGGACAAAACGCACAGGCAACTTCTGCAGAGCTACGTCCTTAGTCTTCGATGGAGGTTCTTCAGGCCTTTGAAGATTGGCGTCTCATTGTGGTCTTATTGTCTTGGAGAACATCTATTCATTTCTCACCAATAAGGTCACTGTGTCTTTAAAGCAAACGTATCCTTGTTCAATTTCAATACTGTCGGAAAGCAGCAGTGGCACAACGGTTGAGTGTCTTGTTGGTCTTCCAAACCATGTACAGTAACCGCAATGGTTCACCTTCGAAAACAACTCTTTGCCTAATTGACCTAAAGGTGACAGCTATGTAGCTGAGCAATCGGCCTAGGCAATGACTAATGTATTATCCAGTAGTGATACAACTGGATGGTGGCCAATGATATGTCTGCCATTGCCTTTCTATCATCCTACCCAAGAGTTGATCGCGCACTTTCCTGCCCATTGGACAGGCGCGTGAATCAGTCTTGAACCCACAGGAGTCTACTTCTCAGCGCTGGCGATATTGAACAGTCGTAAACAGAGTTTGCCAATCAGCATAGTTTTCGATCGGAACCCTGTTGGCACAACAGGGCTGGAAGTGATCAAACCTGCAAATAAACTTGGTCTCAGAAACAGGCATGAACAAGCTGGTCATAGGCTCGCTGCAAGAACCTGTAGCGGCTGAAACGAATCTCACTCCATCACTCTTACAGTACAAAAAGAAACTGGAATCAAAGTATTGGGAGTCGAGCGTGGAGTAAATGGCGCAGAATGGCTTGAGACCTGATTTTGTCAAGTCAATACAGCTGCACAGCTTGTACCATACGCTTTGCCGCTTTGCATATTATGTGTTCTCCCTGCCTCCGGCAGCAAGTCCAGCAGCAAACGTGACAGCCTCACTTTGTGCAACAGAGTGTGCTATGAGGCACATCGAATCAAAACACAAGGGAAGCATATTTTCAGTAAGTTGGATTGGATTCGATGTATGTTTAGGCATGGACAGTCAAATTGATGTGTCTCAGATTCACACGTGTTGCTCTGCAATGCCCACGTCGAAGGTCCGTTCCTCAAGCTTTGCGCGATCAAATGTAACAAAGTCTGGCAGAGTGGCGAAGCAATTCTCTTCCTCCTCAGCCTCCTGCTGGACCAAATGTCTTCTCAAAAATTCCGATACCAGTTCCTCCAGGCCTCTTCAGGGGCAAAAGAAGGATGTTTATCTTAGGCGGAACAATGCTAGTCGGGAGCAAGTGGCATTGCCGCAGTGATGGCAACAACTTTCTCATCTCGCCTCAAAAATTAGGATCTAGGTCTTTCCAGTCAAGTAGCATGTGCACTACTAACATATCATACACATATCTATAGACGGAGTGTGTATTATGTATAACTAAAAATAAGATACCTGAGAAAGGAGAGGACGAAAGCCAGCGAGAGACCAATATGGTAGTGCAGTAGTGCAAGACTGGGAGGAAAAATAGCGGAACACTTCTTGTTGAATGCCTGTAGCTTTCGTGGAGCTTGTATCAACGTGGAGTAGATCAAGATCGGAGCACAGCATGAAGTGCATCACCAAACACTTTTTCGATGCTTTCCTGACCCTACTTTTGAACGCTCTCCCCCACCAGGCTCAACGTTCGACCTCCCAAAAGTGGCCTCTGCGCGACCACCCCCCCCACACCCCCTTTATTCACTTCCTGGTAAACCTTTTGACCTTCTATCTGGCATCTCTTCTGATATTCTATCTGGCGAATCTTCTGACATTATGTCTGGCATTCTTTCTAGCATATCTTCTGACATTTTCTCGGGCATATCTTCGGACATTCTTTCTGGCATACCTCGTGACAGTCTATCTGGCACATCTTTTGACATTCTATTTAGCAATGTGTGTGGCTGAATGCACTGACGAAAATGGTCCTGGTGAAGGTGCAAGGAACTGCAAAGAACCTGCAGGTTGTTAACTGCGAAGTAACAATACGTGAGCCAACACGAAAAAAACAAGCGATGCCCGAAATATTATTTTCGTTGTTGTCGGCCATATTTCGGGCATCGTGTTTAAGTCTTCCACACGTGGCCACAGAGAGTTGCTGCTAACGCCCCGCGCTTGCTCGCTACGAATCCTCAGAGATGCAGCCTGCTAAAGCTTGCCCAGAAATGCCCCTGATCTGTGCATGCCCCAGATCTAAGCAAAACAATCAGGCTCCGTATAGAGATACACAATGAATGCCCGAAGGACATCCTGTCTGTTGCGGTAAATGTTTTAGGCATCGTGTTGAACGCTTCCACGTGTCCCGCCTTGAGTTCACCCTCGCCCAACTGGACATACTCACGTCGTTCGCCCAGAGCGTTCACTCTTTGTTGCTTGGTCCTTCTTGGTATGATCAGAGCTACACAGTCCCTATGCCCTGCTCAGGACTAGAAAAATTGTCTCCAGACCCCTTCATGATGCTAATGATGCACTACTCGGCGTCATTTACATCACTTGCATCACCAAACCACTTTTTCGATGCTTTCCTGACCCTACTTTTGAACGCTCTCCCCCACCAGGCTCAACACCCCCTTTGTTCACTTCGTTCACCCCGAAAACTCAAGCCTTGCCTATCGGCTGGCTTTCGTGATATTAGATATATGTGAGTATTTTCCCAATTCTGCATAGCACGATCATTGTTGTACATCGAAACACGTAAATATTGCAATTGGTTGCTTCTACACAAGCTGCAAAACGTTGATCAAACTGCACAAAAGCAACTTAAGCTCAGAACTGCCCCTCACGGACCAGCTGATCAGCAAATACTTTGGTCAATGGTGGTTGCTTCTTCTTTGGCCTCAACTGCAACTGGCCACACAAAAAGCTTGTGCACGCCGCACGAATACTGTTTTCGGTACAAAGATGTACAAAGCATTAAAGAATGCTGGGCATCCCTTCACTTCGTCAGGGGTCTTTGGCACCTCGAAGACACAACTCTGACACCCTGCAAAAGTGAAAAGGGAGGTTGCAAAGGCAAAAGTAGGGAGAACGAGTGTAGGATATTATAAGTTATAAGAGGCTGACATTGAACTTTGGCTGGACAGCATGAAGCTTGTCACTCGCCTGAGAAGGTGATTGGAAAGTGGCAAGCCAGTATTGAAGCTGTGAAGCATGGCCTTTTGTGCTGGCTCATAGCCATAGCCTTTTTTGGTCCTGAAGGAAGCGATGAGAGGGGAGGACAAAATTCAATCTCGGTGAGGATGTTGTGAGTACGCAGTCTGTTAGAGACATATCACATGTCTGTCTTGATATGAAGAAACACCGGTTTCTGGAGAAGGCCATCTTCGTGATCTTGGCGAATGTTCTCAAGGACCTTCACGGACAAGGAAGGAGCAAGCACAGCCCCGCAATTCAACAAATCAGGTTTTGGCCTGCACCAAAGTGTCCATATCATGACCGTCAATAGGGCCGACCTAAGCGTATAGTTTCAAAGTGCTCACTAGAACAAAGGCTGCGATACATTCGAAGCAGTTCTGGTCGGCTACGCAGCTACTAAGTCCCGGCATAGTAAAAGCCCAACTGCTCAAACAGCTCTCCACGACCTTAGCGTTTACAGGCACCTTATCGCTATTAGGTTGGAGGCCATCGCTAGTAGGTTGGAGGCCATTACTACTAGTAACAAGAAGCTACTAGTAGCTAGAAGCACTTGCAGGCATCACTCAAACAGGCACCCACAGGGCCGATCTTCCCACACTCTCGGTGTCGCTCTTGGCTTCATTGAAGGCTTCTTCAGTCATTCTGGGATTGTCTGTGCTTCCACCATCTTCCAACTTAGCCAAGTGCTCCCTGAGCCACTTCCACGGAATGGTACTGTTTTGACGAAGTCTCGTGTGTACCTCGCTGAATTCACAGTCTCAATTCAAACAACGGAGAGACGCGGTGGAGTCATTCCTTTGTCTTTTGAACTTCCAACTCGCACAAACAGCCGGAAAGTTAGCAGACACACTGCAAACTCTTCTTAGAGGCCATCGAGTATTAAAAAGGTTCCAGGAAGACTGAAAGGACTTGGGCACTCATCAAGCTTTGCTGCAGCTTTTGAAAGCTGGTCAGGCAGAAGTGACTTCGTGGCGCTCTTGGCAAACCTGAAATCGCAACTCCAGCTTTAGAAAAATACAATCATGTCCATCTGATTGTTGTGTTGTTAGAAAAATACGTTGACCCTCAACATCCATCCTTTAAGGACAAGGCTGTCTTGCATTCTGGAAGGCTTGAGAGGTCTCCATCTTTGCGATGTTTCCTTGGATGTCAAGACCTGAGGGGCAAATCTCACCCAACAAAAGCACAAAAACGCAATCTCACCCAAAGAGATCTTAATCTATCAAGAAAACTGAAAAACGGGCCTCGAGTTTCAGCTGTGCTTGTACCTGCAAGGGTCTCGGAGAGTGCTCCAACGGGCTGCTTCACCTCAGTTGGAGGACAGTCTGAGTCGAGTACAGTACAATTGAGTGTGACGAAGTGAGCCGTACCGCGCCTGGTTGTAAAAGGTTGGCCTTGAAGGGGTTGTTCAAAAACAGTGAAGCAACGCATAAACAAGCAGAGTGCAAGCACGTAAAGCCAGCCATCCCACAGCAAGCAAGTGCTTGCTGTTGGTATCATTGAAAGGGGCAACCTCACCAAACAAACCTTACATGTTGATCGTTTTGTAAGGTTGTGGCAGGGATACCTGGCCATTGTCATTGAGAATGACAACCTCAGAAATTGACAAACGATCATAAACGACTGACCCATGCATCGAGCTTCTTGTTTCAAGGCCGAATGAACACATTGACAAGCAAATATCTTGGAGTCCAACGACCTTCGAACCCAAACCACCAGCCTGAGTGGTTGGAAGACAGGGGCGCGGATGGCATAGCAAAAGGAAGAAACAAGTCCCACGAAGCTGTTTGCTGAAGGTTGCCAAAGCATGTTCTGCTCGAATCTCCGCTGATATATATATATATATCATTCATTACAGTTTATTGTATATCATATATTCCAACTTCCACCTCTATAAAGCATGAGTCCCACGCATGATTCATGGCTTCCCAAGCCATGCCACCAGTGATTGCGCCATCCCCAATCACTGCAATACTGTGACCAGACCTCCATGCCGGTTACGTGATGTGAAGCATGGAATGACATGAATTGACATGCATCTTTACCAGAGCTCGGTGAGCCTCTTCAGGCGATCTTTTGCTGTTTGAAAGCCAACTGCCGCACCTGCAAGGTTAGATATGGTGGAAGACAGAAAAAGTATGAAAAGGTCTTGGGGGCTCCGTTACGACTATTTATTGGTAGACAAGCTCTTTCGAACGCAAGCCCATTATGTATCGTTTTTCTCGGACAAGATTGTGAGACAACACCCGGCGTTGCATGTCATTGCTACCGAATCTCACATCAAATCCCATCAAATAAATTCCACTGTTTAAAGAACACTTGGATCTGCACTAATGGAAGTTGAGGAGTGTCCGGCACCAAAAGCATCATACACTGACCTTGATTGCAGCGGAAGCGCAAAGAGCATCAATTCAATGAGCCATGCTTTTGGCAAAGTCTTTTCTTAGGTCGCAACTCTTTTCGCTTTGCAAAGCCTGAAAGGCCTCCACCTTGACCTATGCACAATTGAACATGTGTAACACATTTATTGACGTTATATATGTTAATTATTTAGATTTATTAAGCATGTCCGTCGGCTTCTGCACAAGCATTTACTGAACTTTTTCGAGCTGCCAAAAGCTCAGCGATTGACGCAGAGTATATATCCGAGATCGCCTGCCTGTCAATACCTTTCGCAGGCACGAAAAGATGTCGAATAGCTGAGACAGTCATTGCAAACAAAAAAAACTAGAGGCCATGGTGACATAAGGAGGATACTTTGCACAGGAGGTATGTTTCCCTAAAGGAACCAAATCACAAGCGTGAGCTATTCTGTGTCCAGTTACTAGTAGCTTAAGTAGCTAGGAGCTTACTCCCTTAATTAAGCAGGCGCCGCCCACTTAATAGAGTAAGGAGGCAGGACCATGGGCTTTAAAAAAATAAGGGACTCCGGGAATGCCTATTATTGCAAATTGGTGGAGGCATTTCAAGGCTCAAAGGTGCTGAAGCTTTGATGCGCCTTGTGAGGTTGACATTGATGAGCCACGTCCCAGCCTTTGAACACATCCATGCGCAATGTTTTTAGACGTCCAATGCTTCAAAATCTGAGAACTCTACATATCTCATCTCTGGGTGTGTCATAGACATGATGAAGTGCAACGGTTAGCTCCACCACACCAAGTCCAGCACCTCATGTCCCCCAGCTGCGTTTGAACCAAGAGAACAAAGCTGAAGAGTATGTTGGAAAGGATGGGCTCTAGACCCAAGTGTCCGCCCGTGACAGATACTGCATCGAGAACCTGTTGCGCAAAAAACCGAGAGCTGTTTTGATCCTCCTTCTCCTCCTAATCGAGCTGTAGCGTGCATGAGCTCAGCCTGCCAACGAACTTCCTCTGAAAGCTGCTTGAGCTCAGGGACGGTCATGCTGCGAATCCTGGCTCAACAAGACTTGAACTGACTGATCAATCATTTTTTGGTTTGGCACTTAGTCATTCTGCGCTGTGGCCTTGACCAACATCTTCACTGTTGCTTGTCTCAAACCATTGACGGGCAGGCCCCTGAGTACCCTCATCCCCAAGTGAGTCCAACCTTTGCCAATGCGGAGTGACAAAGGAAAAGCCTTCAATTGTAGTTGGTTGGAAGACCTGCGCTTCATGAACGCCTCTTCGTTATTCCAAAATATATCTGCATTCTACATCTGGGTGTTGGACAGTGGGGTCGCTTTTGGGGGGAAGTGGCCTCGCTTCGGTTCTTCTGCCTTTGGAGAAGCCTGCAGTGGAAGTGGCCATGAGTGGCAAGTGCTAAGAGGACAAAGGATCCTTGCCTGTTTCTGTCCAACTCCGAGTGTTCCAGGTCGTGGCGCGCCACATTTTCGGCCTGATTGTGCGCGGCATCGCAGCCAGAAGTCTGACTGGAAGTTTCTGAGAAGCTGACAAAACAAAGAGTCCTCCATGAATACATTCCCACATTCAGGACAGACCTGATGCCAATTCTTGGTGAGGTCAATCATATCGTCACGTGCTCACAACACGAAGCGAAACACAGCCTTTGCACAAGTGCCTTCGCTGCCCCTTTGAAAGTGTCATTGGTCACCGTCGTCTGGGTTGCCGCAAGAGGAAGGTTCTTGCGGCCGTTCCTTCACATGAGAGTGATAATAATAAAGAAAAACAGTCCCAAAAGAAGGAAGGTAAGGCCCATGTATTAATGCGCTTTCTTAATCCCTTGGGCTTCCTTGAAAAATAGGTCTTCTTTCTGTCAAGTTGAGAGTTGCTGCTCCAAGGCTTAACAGCTGTCGTTTTGACATTGCCCCAAACACCTTCGTCTCCGCGAGTGCGCAGCCGCAAGGCCAGCAGGAATCCCCAGCGCAACTGCAAAAGTACAGGCAGTAGTGTTTGTGTGTTTGATCCGACTAGAAACTGAATCGAGCTCTCTCTTATAGCATCTTATAGCAAATGTCGATCATGTAGAAACTTTAAGACCATGACTGCACGTGGCCATCTTCGGGCTTGATGAACTTTCTGTAGAAGCGACGGCAATCCTGCATATATGACTTGCTGATTTAACATGAACAAAAATGGTTTGATTAGTTGCTTTGGCATTTTTTGGGGTACCAGCCTTTTGCTCGGCACTGTAGGGACCACAGAGTGGCTCCATTTGGAAAACTCCCTGGACATCACTCGATCATTCAATCATGTCGAGAACATGCGAATAACATCACCCAAGAAAATGCTCCTGGCCTCACAGCGACTGAGGGGGGTACCTGCAACAGCAGTGTTCTTTAAGGCTTTGAGAGTCAAGGGATATCAAAGGATTAAAAGTGATTAAAGGCGCGTTTTCCTGTCAGGGAGTTCACCGCGCATGAACTTCGGACAGGCAAGGAAAGGTTCAAGAAAGCAAGGACGTTTATGATGTGAAAAGCTAGAAGTAAGGAACAGCTATGGATGTGTAGGCCTACTACTACTACGATGGAGTATTGAGTCCTGATCTCACCCCAAGACTCAAGTCAAACACACCTCGACGGGGCCTGCCTGCTCCATAAGAAGTGACGACATGGCCTGCAGGGTGCAACAACTGGATTCCAACATCTGGTGCATCTGACTCTTGCCTACAAGGCCGGTGGATGCATAGAATCACAAAAGTTTGAGCAGGGGACTACGGGGCGCAAGGAAACCACAGAAGTACTTTTGCAAATGCCACGGGCCACAGCTTCACAAACATCTCTCAAACCAATTTTGACAACGCCGGAGCAGTCTTTTACGGATTTGTCCCTCGAGCATTCTGCAACCACTGGTCCACAGCCTCACCGACACAAACATGAAATTGCACTCAATAGGAGATTGAAAGTGCTCACACTCCCTGTCAATACTCAGAAAGCCACGAACTGCACCGCAGACGTGGCAAGCTCGTGTGGCAAAGGCGAAGTTGAAGGCAGCAAGCCTGGGTGTCAGCAATGTATTTAGAACACGTCATTTGTGAGGTAATAACGAATGATCAGAGTTCGTGAAGGGAAACTTTCCAGCTTGACAACGCTCCAGCAGAGTGCCAGGGCTCTGCTTCCACTTGTTGCAAGAATAGAAGGGGTGATTCTCGTAGGTATCAGCAAGCTGAATACTACCCCGTGCCCTTCGAGATGTTGATTGGAACTGTGACTTGGAAGTTGTGAATGCCGCAGAAGTGTAATTTAATGTAATCTTCTCAGTTTGTCTTAGCACGTCTCGTGCCTTGCACATCCTGAGGCGCTCACAGTGATCCAGCACCCCCTGGTCATCAGCACTATCCTCCTGTCGCCAAACAAACACAACAACTGGGTAGTGCTACTGGCTACAGAAGCCTTGCACATGAGTCCTTCAAGGTTTCCCACAAAGTCATTGCTTCACCACGAGGAGCACCAGGCTCAGACTCTGGGACCATGATGAGGACTCTCAGCCTGTCTAGAACATGCAATGAGCTTGAACACTTGAAATTGAATGCAAAAATGAGAACTTGAGACATTAAAAAGAAGAAACAAACGAGTCAGCGAGCGATGGGAGGGAGGGAGGGAGGGAGGGAGCGAGGGAGGGAGCGAGGGAGGGAGGGAGGGAGGGGAGGGAGGGAGGGAGGGGAGGGAGGGAAGGAGCGGAGGAAGGGAAGGGAAGGGAACGGAAGGGAAGGGAAGGGGAAGGGAGAGGGGAAGGGAGAGGGGAAGGGAGAGGGGAAGGGGAAGGGGAAGGGGAAGGGGAAGGGGAAGGGGAAGGGAAGGGGAGAGGAGGAAGGGGAGGGGGAGGGGGGAGCAGTATTGAACAAACAAGTAATAAATAATAATCGTTTCGGAGCCAAGCCTGGACAATTGAGCTTTTATCTCTGCCGCCAAGACCTTCACCTATAGCAGGCAATAAGGACGAGGATGGACCTATAATACTGAGTAGTCGCAGCTTTGTCTTGGACGTTCTCAACTTTAGGATCGAGGAAGCCATTGGAGACCATCGCATCGGTTTGAGCATATGGCCGAGGCCTTCAAGTCACTCGATGTAAAAAAACAAAAAACAATGCGGAAACACATGATAACATTTCAAGGCTCCTCTGGAAGAACCACGATGCCAATTGAAAGAGGCGCTCCTGAAATACTATTTCATTAAACATAGAAAGGCTAACAAGTAAAATTAGGCTTGAAAGCTCGCCTCATCGGGGGCTCCAGCATGCAAAAAGCTTCGCCGGAGGTTTCGGCTCCTTGCTCTCCACGAGGAAACCCAACCAAAAAAGACACATTCAAGAAATGAGACAGCGGCGAAAAGTGTGAACGCCGATAAATGCGACCCAGTCTGGTATCAGAGTGAAGGAAGGCCTTGGTGCAGAAGGACATCGTACACTTCAGCCTGTTGATGTGGGAAAGCACCGTACCTAACTTCACCAAGCCTGGATTTGAAACATGATGAAAAGAAAGTACTGTTTAAGAGCCGCGACCTTTTTCGGTGCACACTCAATGATTCAAGATAGGATGTGTAGAATCTATCCTTGTTCTGTCAAGTAGGCCGGGAGAATCTGACATCTCTGGCACGAACTACTCACGCTTTTAGCGTTGTGAGAAGATGGTGAGACGCCGCGGTGGTCCCGCACCTTCCTCTGCTAGACCTGGAGCAAGACGCCGAGACTGAGAAGCTCTGGAAATCGGAGAGGTTTCCGGCTCCTGAAAGCTCAGTAAGGCAGTGTCCAAATTCTCTTCCCAAAACAACGAACACGAATTAATTGTTGGCTCTAACTATGGTCGACTATTGGACTATATGGTCAGTCTCTTTTGCCAAAAAACCCTGAGAGTGCTCGATTCTGTTCCGTCCCCAGCCTGCCCCCTGCCTACCCCGCACTGGAGTCTTTTTCTGAATTTCTGGCTGGAAGCAGGTTGGAAGATTCTTGCAGGACATGCACGCATGTGTGCTCAGTGCAACTTACAACTTTCCTAACATTGGCCAATTGCCAGAAAATATGAGCAAAATATCTAAAAGGAGCGAAGAAGAGGAACAAAATAGAATAATATTGTGATTACACATGCGTGCAATTGGCGATACAATCTGCGCACCACACGAGCTGTATGCAATTAGATATTCTCCAAGGAGGCGGGCCGCATGTTCCCGACACGATCCATTCTTCTCACAAATAAAATTCACAATGACACGTGTTCAACAGGGACCTCTGCATACAACTCTCCTATACACACTCTTCTCTAGACTCTAGACTATCTAGAATCTAGACTATCTAGACTGACTCTAGACCAGATTTTCTTCGCGTGCTTTCCCTACAGGACAGTCTTTCAGTCTTCTCCACAAACGTTTCCTGGTCCAACTTGGGGACGTGCCAATGAAACTTAAAACCTTCAGTTGCCTTCTCCAATGTATTGCACTTACATTGAAACCAGCAAGACACCTATGACCTATGACAACTGCTCCACGCCGCACACGCACAAATGAGCCACAACCTTTGCATCAGCACCTTACCCTTGTGCATGGCGCACATGCCCCACAACTTTCACGCAGCAGGTACACATCATTCTACCTTCCAGGAACTGCCTGGGTGAATTATAAATAATGTTTTGGTCTCATCTGATTTCCCTCTTCTGCTAGGCTATGTCAAGCAGCATGTGTTTCAAAAAATTCAGAGATTCTGCTCTGTACTATGTTTCGACAAAGATCGAAACTATGCAAACACAATCTTCCAGGACAATGTGATGCAGCGTGCCTCCTCGCATGCCTTCGCCACAGAGCCCTTGGTGCTGGTTCTTGACTCGTATCTTGAAGCTAATCTGCTGAGGAGCTGTTGCATTTCCAAGACTTCCTCCGGGCTGTTTGCCTCAAAATACTCAGAGCCACTCTCGCCACTGTCGGATTCTGCCTGGACCGATGATGATGACGAGATCTTTCGCAGGTCCCTTTTGGATAGTCGCAAGGTCAATCGTCTTTCTCCTTTGCTTGATCTATCCCCCTGTTTCAGGCTAGGTTTGGGCTTCTTTTGCTGGAGAGTTTCGGGTGAATCGCACTGCTTTGGCTGAGGCTGTGGTTTTTGCTTCAGCAAGCCCGAAGACAAAGAGGTCAGTCCAGCATTGCGCGATGGCATGCCACCTGTTTGGTTGTGGGGTGACTGGGGCGACTGACATGGTGCTTCTAGCGAACGTCTCACCTCGCAATCCGCCAGTTGCCCAGCAAGGGCTCTGTGGTGCTCCTCTAAGATCTTATTGCCTTTGTGGACTCTCCGGAGCTCATCGCAAACTGTGCGCAATGCTTTACGCATCAGCAAAACAAGCTCCTGCAGCTCTGGCTTCAGGTCCAAATCATTCGCAGCGGGCCTAAGAGCTTGTCACTTGATCGATAAACTCCCCTTTGGGCAAGTTATATTTAAACAACTGGATATCTACTGTTGAAGCCTGCCAATGTTGAAAGGGGTCTGAAAAAAAATGTTATGTAAGGCAACGCTTTGGGCTGAGAATCTTGGAGTCAACTTTGCCATTCCAAGCAGAAGGCGCACCGGCACACGGTCTAGGATAGCCACTCGCCATGTATGGTACAGAGGAAAACCCCCAACAGCACCGAGGTCCCAAAGAACGCTCTGATGCTGAAATCTTGAAGCCAGTGCAAGTTCATTTGCAGGTCCAGCCGCCAAAGCTGCTCATTTTGCAGAGCATGGTGGAGGTCAAAAGAAAAAAGAACAGCCCAAAAGTGAACGTTCACTGACAATGTCTCTACAAGAACAACTAACTTCTCAAGCAAGCGTCACCCATCCAATACGCCGCTTGGTCCGGTTTCAGTCTAGACCAACTCCACGATGTTGGCGGCGCTGACTTCCAACCTGCAAGTATGTCCCTTGCAAGCAAAAAGCCAAAGATTTAATCACACTGCGTGCTCTCAGGTGTTTCTGGGATGGTGGCATCCTGCTGCAAGAAGCTAGGCAACTGGCTAGGTGCCAACATTGCCAAGGACTTGTAGAGTCCCAAAGCCTCACCACCAGACTTGAGATTTGGCTCTCATGGTAGTATTGACAGTCTGTCTTGCGATCAACGCCAAAAACCTGCCTTGATGGTGTCACCTTGCGGTTCCCAAGTAGATATTGCCTTCCGAGTGATATTCTCATTTGATAAAGAACATCGCCAATATTGTTTGAACACAACGGCTTTCTGAAGCTACTTAAACGTTGCTTATTTGCTCTCAGTAGCGATGCCCTGGCTAGTGAAGCGTCCTTGCTACTAGTAGCGATGCCCTTTGCTACTAGTAGCTTCTAGCTACTAGTAGTAAGGCACCTTGCTACTAGTAGCGTCTTGTTACGAGTAGTAATGCCCTTGTTACTAGTAGCTTCTTGTTACTACTAGCGATGCACTTGTTACTAGTTTGCAACACGTTTCAATGCGTAATTACCGTTGTCACGTTGTCACCTCCAGAGCTCGAAGGGCATACAGTGCTGCACTGCTTGCTGCCACAACACACAGCCTCAGCACCGGCAACACCAGCTTGTCCCTTCCATCAGCTCTCAAAAGGGCACTGCTAGGCTGCTTTGCAACTGAACTGATGAGCAGAAAAAAATCACAGGAGTGCTTCAACTTGATGTCTTCTACTGATTTACCTAGACCTAGCTTGATGCTTTGCGCTTTCAACTTGTCTTATTTGCACATATTTCCCCCTATCCTTAATCCTGAAGCTTTAAAAGCTCTTCAAACGGACTTTGAATTTCTGCCTCTAAGTTCAGAACTGCGGTGTCTTGTTGCCTTCACTTGACTCTGGATCAGAATCAGCTTGGCCTTAAGATTGGTCAGTTTTGACAGACTGTACAATCTATGCACTTTTGGAAATCCTTCAAGTGCTTGAGCATGGGTTGTCCTTAAGCTGCTGAAGAAATGTTTTGGCATGCTGTTCTTTCATGTTTCCAATGTCCAAACATGCACCGCTGGGTTATGCACTCTGCAACTCTTGTTCCGCAACGTGCTCTAGGGCCTGGCACCAAAAGTCCTGAACCCATGCTGTCAATACATGAAACTGTGTTCCATGGCGCGAATAGTATTTTATGGCGTCCTGATATTCATCCGCCATGTGTTCCGCTTTGCAGTGCTCAAGCCTCGAATAGCTTGGATTGCGCTGACAATAGTAAATGAAGGAATATCCAAACTGGGTTCTGGGCGCCCAGTTTGTTTGGACATCTTGCGTCCAACCCGGCCTGACTCAGTGACATACGAGTACTCTTCCAATTCAGTTGCAAGTCCCTGCCCAAGTTTGCCACCACTCCAAAATGTAGCATCTGTGCCTCAACACAAACATAGCATTTGGTCACTTGCGTTTTCTGGTTCTCTGGTTTTTGCAAGCAGTGATGAAGTTTCCTTGGACAAAACTATTGGTATCTGGCCCTCTCTGTGACAACAGCAAGGCCAGCGGTCTCATCTCTTCTTTGCCGCTACAAACCAAGGAAACCTCACTTGGGCAACATAAAGCAATAGCCCGCGATAGCACTGAAACGGTCATAGTTCTTTGAGTTGCCATTTGCAAATATTCTTCACTCACATGGTTGAGCCTGAGCGTCTAGCGGATGGGATGAGAACAACTGTCCAGCCACTTGCAGGTCTAGGCCTCGAATGTCCGAAAAGTCTGGGTGCAAAAAACAGATTCATTGACAGCAATCCTGTCAAAGTAAAATCAAAGAGCAAGCACCGTTAAAAGCAGCATCGCGCATGTGTGTATATAAAAAAGCGAGCCTTGCCTGTATACAGTATGTATATACTGTATAATTACAAGACATAGGCTGTGAACTTGTTCACCTTCGGCCCACCAAGTGAGCATGATCATGTAGATGCCACCCACTGACTCAGCCTCGTGGCTCACGGAACCAAGGACGTGGGTGGGTGGGACTTCCGTCTTGCGCCATAGGCCATCAAGGGACAGCGATCCCAACTCAGGACGCACTGGAGAAAGAAGCGCTGAGAGCGGGTGGGAGTGCAGCGTTACTAGTAGCTTCTTGCTACTAGTAGCAATGCACCTTGCTACTAGTAACACTGGTAGCGGAGCTCCAAGCACTGATTGGAGGCAATAGTCTTGCCTGTCATCTCTGTCTCTGATCAGCACGTGGAGCAGCCAGGGCGACCAGAGATGTCGAAGGCGTCTGGAGGAGGAGCAAATGGATACAACTTGGCAAGCCCATTGATTTTGGCAAAGATGATCTACAATCTACAAGTTTTTCAGCAACGGCTGGAGCTGCTGGGCAGTGTTTGGCCCAAAGATTGGTTCAATGAGTTGATCACCGGGTGACCTGAACGCTCAGGGCAGTGCGTATCAGAAGCTCCAGCAGCCGAGCTGTCAACTGGAGACGACAAAGGATTGAATCAAAATAATCAAATCATCAAGTTGCTGGGCGGTCATTGGGGTAATACAGGTCAGGAGAAAAGGTACTGCAGGCCTTGTTTCATTGCCACCAGCTGCAGTGGACAAAGCGGCCTCTCTCCAGAACAGCAGAGGAAATGGATGGAATTGGTGTCAGATATGAGCCCCAAAGCAATGCCCGAGGGGACCATGTCCAGTGAACCAAGCCCGAGCAACCCAGGAGATCCATGATAGAGTGAAGACACATGAAGCCGATGGAGACGTGAAAATGCATGACACAAGACCAGAAACAACATGGTCGTGGTCTCAACTCTCCAGGAAAGAAAAACAAACCTTCTTGTGGGCCCATCAACATTTAGGACATCCATCCCCGCAACGACTGTGTCAAGCAGCAGGACATCGTCATGTAAAGGTCAAGGCTGTCTTCGAAATTCCATGCGGTGTGTCAACAAAATAAACAAGCACAGCATTCCCAACCCGGTCGACTCCATTCATCGTTGGATCTCAATGAGCACTGTATGGAATGGACCAACCAGTCCGGTCGGACCTTTCATATGGTTGATGCAGGCAGGCTCCAATTTTCATGTCGCAGTTCCAGCACCAAGTCAATCAAGTCAGCATGTTATACAGAATCCTACCTAGACAACGCATTGTACTAAGAGCAAGGACGCTACTAGGGGCTCCTGGCATCGCTACTAGGAACAAGAAGATGCTAGGAATGTCTCAATTTCTGACAAGTATGGGAATTCGATGCATCACGACAAATCCTGACAGTCACTGGCAATCCGGGAAGATTGAATGCCACGGTTCCTTCCTCCAAGTGATGTTGAAGAAGATGGACAAGGAACACCCCATCAGTGACTTTAGTGATCTCACTCAGGCCGTGAACCAAGCCACACATGCAAAGAATGGGAGATGATACCAATACCATTGAGGTTCCAAGCAGCAGTGAAGACGACATTGAGCCCACCATGCTTGTGGGTGTAGAAGTTTATAACAGTTTATGTTATATATATATAGATGGTCCATCAGTGTTTGACAATCAAGTAACTGCATCCGCATGCCGAACTGAATTTCACGTGACGTCCGGACACTCCTGGCTACCGCTGCCAAGAAACAACGATTCTTAGTAGCGTCCTTGCTCCTAGTAGCGATGCCCTTTGCTCCTAGTAGCGTCCTTGCTCCTAGTAGTACGGCCAGGAGCCCCTAGTAGCGTCCTGGACACAGCGTATTCGGGTGTTTAGATCAAAATCTCAAAGAGATACCCAGGGACTCACCAAACCTTTCCCGATCCGGCAGGATGCTAGCTCTTCAGCTCATCGCATGTCAAAAAGTTGAAGGCACACAACATCCCAACTACAGCATGTCATTATCGCAAGAACAGTACGTGGGCACAATTCCAACATTAGCATACATTAGCCATTAGACCGGGTAATTAAACAGGAAAGAAAAGATCAGTTTCAAGCAAAGGTACCCGACGAAGAGCGTCAACAGCTGTGAGTCTGCGAGGCGTGATGGGCAGCTTGCAGTATGCAAAGGTCCATACACGTCCGGGGCATGGCTAGCAAGGTCATCTTCAGAGCCAGATCAATTCAGCCACCATCGAGACATTGATCCAAGTCAACAGTCAACAAAGTTCGGCACAAAAACACAATATAAGAATGTAAAGGTCCTTTTAGGTTTTTGGCCTTTTCAATCCTTTTCAAATGCTTCGTTTGCCTCAAAGCACAGACCAGATTCATACTCCGGCATGATGATTCTTGTCACTTGTCACACATCAGCGCATCGGCAAGAACCAGGCAGCTCCCATAAGCCCACTGTCATGGGGCAGCAAGAAGATTCAGAGGGTTGTGACTAGCACGTTGGTAGAAGAGACTGCCTATATAACTGTCATCAACGCTGGATCAAATGTTTTGGATTGGCTATTTGGGTCCTAGATTCTTCAGAACGATGTGAATTGGAAACATGCCGAACAGAGCTTCCCTAAACTCCCTAAAGCCGTCACTGTGCCAACCTTGAGAGGATCCGAGGATAACATCACAGACTGTAAAATTTGTACGATTGAGCCACCTGGACCGTGCCTCTAAATTGTTCTGAGTTTAGAGTTCAGCTTCAGGCACGCGCCATCAAAGATTTACCGGCAAGGCTACATACGGAGCTCAGCGCTGATGCATTAATCAAATGCATGGAAGCCTGCTTCTTCCGTTCGACCTTGAGCTCCAGCATTGGCCACAACAAGAAGACCGAAAAAGCGGGAGTGTGGATTTGTTCACCTTCGGCCCACCAAGTGAGCATGATCATGTAGATGCCACCCACTGACTCAGCCTCGTGGCTCACGGAACCAAGGACGTGGGTGGGTGGGACTTCCGTCTTGCGCCATAGGCCATCAAGGGACAGGGATCCCAACTCAGGACGCGCTGGAGAAAGAAGCGCTGAGAGCGGGTGGTGTCAGGAGCACCTAGGGTTGGAGAAGGAGGTTTGCTGCCATTCACAAAAGACCAATATATGTTATTGTATATACTATATATATACACAATACTATGGTGAGCGTGCGCCTCAACATCACACACTCTTGAAAAGGCTTGGCAAAAGTGCTCGCTGACTAAGCCCTCATATCGGAAAGACTGCAGTGAACCGATTGAGCATGATTGAGCGCAACAAAAATGAACACTAGAGTCACTAGACGTCTGTCGAAGCCCTGCACTTTGCACATCTCTCCTGACAGCGTGAGAGCAACCAATAGCCAGGATTGAAACTCAGTCTGGGTCAAGCTGTTTTATTTCAAGAGCTCCAAGGAAGAAGCTGAAGGAAAGAGATATATAATGTTTCGGAAGCAAGAAGGGTCCAGAGGGAATGTCGCGCGATGAAACACCACGCTCTCCACCGTGCTGTTGAACAGCTAAGCTTTGCACAAGTGCTCTTCAAGAGCAGTCAAGGCATCTCGAGCGGTTGCACCACCAGCCTCAACTGCGTAGTTCAGAGGCTGACACATTGAGCTGTTGGTGAAGTAAAAGCAATCCGTCCGCAGCTTTTTTAAGCCCAGACTGGCTGCTGTGCAACTATGTACTCGTAGGGATGCCTAGCAGGGGTCTTCAACAGTCTCAAATCGAGGAGGTATTTGCCAGGAGAGATGGCAAACAACAAATGTTGAATTGCTCAAGTTAAGTAGGAATGAGGAAAGAAAAGGTCGGCACTGGCTCACTCTCATATTCTATGATTCTATGATCAAATCTGCATGTTTTTGTTTAGCTCATCGATCACGACTATAGACTATATGTATAAAGGTATATAATAAGGATATGATATATTATGGTTGCATAGTTTGGGTCGTTGCCTATCACCAGCTGATGTTCTCCACAAAAAGCTCCTGTACCTGTACACAAACAGCAGTGTCACGCAGGTGAACACTTGCACCGCTTGCTCATCTGACACACATCCTTGCAACCGCCACACCTGAAGGTTGCGTCAGTGGTTACCTCGCTGGCCGCAGACATGTCCAGAATGAAACGCCTTTGCACCTAAGCACCGAGCAAAAGAATCCAAAGGCCAAGTCTGCTGAGCCATAGCTGATCATATGTATGTGTGTGGGCACATCGCATGAGATCCCAACAAGTTGTGCACCTTCTGCACCCAACCTGACAGGGCCTCACAGAGTCACAACTGGGTCACAGCCTCTCTACATGGCCCCCATGGAGTGGCCGCTACAGCCTGCCTTGGCATCTTCCTGCTCTTTTCTCGCATATGGGATGCCTGCGCCATACTGTGCTATTCACCTTGGTGAACAAAATGGTCGGTGGTGGGTCAAACATCCACATGTTTAGATTGCTCAAAGCTTAGAACTCCAGCTCGCGCTGCGAGACCGGCTCCACTCCGCAACGACATAAGCCACACAGGCTCTGCTTTGCAAATTCAGAGAACGTTCTCACATACTTTGAGTGCATGCAAAGATAAGCCAGATAAGCATCATGCTCATCGGACTCGGCCTCTTTGCCCTTGTCATTCCCATTTCAACAATATGAGTCGTATATAATCTTAGCAAAAGCCTGCAATAGCTACCAGTAACTAGCAGCTACTTAACGTTGTCTGCCCACACTGCTCTTCACATCTTTGAAAGGCCTCACCTTATATAAAGTGAACAGCATCTTTGCCATCTGAGTACAAGCTTTGGGCAAATTGAAAGCTTCGCTGACTGAGTGTGGTCAAAACCCCGGCTTGAACGGACCATTCTGGACCAAAGGAACTTGCTTGATGCCAGAAGTAGCGCAATTTTGCCAAGGGGTGATTGTAGTTTTTCGTTGCGGCAAAAGTGATTTGCCAATGGCTAGTGTGTATCCCGTGGCCAAGTTGCCGCAGGAGCACATTGCGCCAATTGCGGGAAGAAGATGCAGGTAACTGCAGGTGAGCTGTTGAACTCACCAGGTTTTCCGGGTGAAACTTGGCAAGATATGCATGACTTTATGCCAGCACCAAGCCGCTATTTTCTTCCAGGAGGAGACTTGTCATCTGTGGTTGCTGCGCCCCCAAATGCCGCAAACATAACATCATGTGGTCCTAGATGGCACTCCTCAATCTGGAAGTTTCAAAGATTTCATATACATAATGTCACGAATTGTCAAAATGCAAGGTGATGCGGGGCTCAGGAGTATGCAAGGCACACTCCACAATTTAGGCTGCTCTCAGTCCTTCTTCGGTGAGTCCGCGGGACTTTGCTTCAAACCTGCGGAACGTACCTAAAGACAACGTTTTTTTTCAGTGCAGTTTTCCAAACCTGCGGTTTTCTTGGCTCGCAGCTGGAGAAAAAAGCACCCCAACAAATTGCCAAAGGAGAGTGATGTTGAATGCCAGGTTGACCTTGCAAGGTTGACGGAGAAAATCAGTTTCGCTGTTTTGAATGGCCCTTTCATAAACTTAGGATTCTGCCCACATGGTCGTCTGGCCGGCACATTTGTTTCCAAATGGTGCCTCCTGCAAATAGTTGCCACAACCGCCCATCTTTGGTACTTCAGCTTCACACTTCACACTCTCTCACGCCTCTATTATGCATCTATACTCTATACCTTGACGCTGAAGACCAAAAGCTCCATATTTGCTTTACGTGATTTGTGAGTTTGCGGGCACAGTCCGACCCAGCTCATATTTGACCTTCTGTCAGTGCATAGAGAATCAGTTGTGTTCAGTTGGTAATTTGGGTAAGGCTATGGTTCAATGGTCACTCGATGGATTTAATTTACAGCACAGGCTGGCTGACCAAGATCCACAGTTCCTCATCCACCAAAGTGTTTCTCAAGGATCCATGGGTTGTGGGGAATCAGGGAGTTCGGATCAATTATTTGGGTGATTTCTCTGCTGATGCTTGTGATTTCTCTGCATAGTCGCAAAAGGGAAAAGTTGGCAGGGCAACCCGCAACGTGTACGCACTCTTTTTGTGCCTTTCTGCTGGGTGGGTGTACAAAAACATTGCATGTCTGACTCTATAATCAGCATCAATCGGCAAACGCTGTGACAACCAGGCTTCAGAAGCCTGGTCTGGCTAACAACATGGTCGTCATGATGAGGAGCAAAGTTGCAGACCTGTTCTTTGTTTCTGTGGAAACGATCTTTCGATTTACTCTGAGAGGATACTGAAGTTGCATGGCTCGATTTTGACCAAAAGCCCCAGGCGCTCCCACATATGCTTCATGGCCCCAACGCCAAAGGCTACACTGGTCAAGAACTGCAAGATTTGGAGTCGCGTCACCCAATTCTTCCACGGCCTAAGTGAGTCGCAAGCTTCCACATCTGGTACACTTAGTTCATCTTAGTTCCATGCGTTGGTATCTTCAATACCTGCAAGCCACACTTCTGGTTTGGCCGGTGTGAGGTGTTTGTGTTCCACTGCAGCTCAAAGGAAACCCATGGGTGTAATGTATAGAGACTTGTGTGTAGGGATGTATACAATTGTTAACGTGTTGTTGATCTCTGGATGAAACAGTGATGTTTTCAAGGCTGTGGTCCCAGGTTTGAGACAAATCTTCACGAAGCTGAGAGCCTTCAAACCGTAGTACGCGTACATCACCACGTGGACGAATGTGTTCCACAGGAGTCCTAGCAACTGTCAACAGGCCACTAGGATCTACTTACTAAAGCAGCCACTTGGCATTGAAATGAAACCTCAACCCAGCCTATGTGCTGAAGATTCATGCGGTATTCAAGCCAATTCCAGACCATTACCTCAGTAAGAAAAATCCTAGGTCCTATGGTTCTCTACAATTTTTTTTGGTGTTCTGGATTTGACAGACATCTTCACGCAGTCAGGCAAACAACATACTCCTATGAAACATTTCTACTAGAGCCCGCGCAAGGCGGTGCCACATGTTCGGAATGTTGCCAATCAATATAGCCCCGATTTATAACAAAAATTGTGCACACGTATATTATGCATATACATGTACCTGCAGCCCACTTGACACCTGCTTTGATAGAAAAAAATATATTTGCATAAGTTGGCTGGCTGGTAATCCAAAATAGAGGTCACTCAGGTTCTACATATATGATCATATATGCAACTATTACCCGTGATAGGTCAAGTCCTTCCAGTGGTGCGGCTGAGACGGCAAAGTTTTAACCAAAACCATATATCGTTTCCCCTTTCAGAGGCACTGCCAGGCACTGCTTCGTTTACAAGGGCTGTCAATGACCAACCAACTGACCTTGGTTACTTTGGTTGTTTCAAGTTCGGTTGGGCGGTGCGCTACTGGATTCGGTGGCGGCTGCTGACATTCTGGCTCTGACTGCGATTCTCGCTGCGGTGATGTCGACTTCCTGCTTCACTCTGGTGCCTTACAAGCTTGGTCGTTTCCACTGGAACCAGTGACCAAGTTGCGACGAAACCTGTAACGTGGTATCATGCCTGGTTTGCATTCCTGCGCTCGTTCATCCATGGCTTTGTGAACGCATCCCTGATTGCTTTACTGCTCCGGGCTCCGGGCTCAGTCATTGCGACTCGCCTTCACAGGTGATTGAACAGATTGTGAGGGATTAGTTGGCTGCAAGTCCACCACGCACCAGATGGAAGGAGAAAAAGGCGGCTTAAGATTTCAGTGATCGTATGTAGTGGTACGGCTTCAGGACGGTCGCCAAATTGTGAGCAAGATCAATGAGGATGACACCGTTTTCCCGAAGAATTGGTCGAAGACGGTGAGACCTGGGAAATCCTTGGACAGTGAGAACCTGGAAACAAGTCAGTTGCGGCATGTTGCGCCGAGCGGTTCTTTCACTGAAGCCTCCTTTGTTCTAGACCCGAACAGCGTGACTTGAGCCTCAAGCTTGGGTCGTACATCCTTTATATTTTTCACCCTCGCCTGCTAGTTGGAAAGGTTCGTAGCCTGGTGCGCGAACTGGCGCGAACATTATATGCATGTCAGCCATTAGATCCACTAAATCCGGTTCAAGCAAGGTTAGAAACGTGGGACCTGACCGTTGGTTCACAGCCAGTGGTACCATGGAAGGCGGGTGGGTGCGAATTCACACGCCCCTCTTTGAGACTTGTACAAAGCAGTTTGTTGGACCTTGACCTGGGCGCGCGCTGCGCTGCTCACCCTGTGCACAGTGTCCTGCCGGCATCCGCAAAGCCGTCAGTGATGTATATATATATATTAATCAATACTATATTAGATATTATATATATGTTGTTATTAAGTTATATTATATTATATTATATTATACTATATTATATATATGCATATATATATAGAACTATATATATATCATGATAGAGAGATACAGAGAGAGATTGATTACAAGACTTCCTTTGATGGCTCCACTTCGAGTCTTTGGAGCGGGGGCCGGGGGTCCTTTTGCTAAGACGCTGGAACGAGTGCATGATGATACACGTGCAGACCAAAGTGCGGTGGCCTGGGAGCAAGAGCAAAATGTGGTCCAATTTACGCATCAAGCACAAGCAGACTGTTTCTAGTAAGACTTGCTACAACAATTTGGCAGCATTACAACAAAAAGAAGCAAGATCAACGAACCCATCATGTCAAAGCCCACACGATGGAAAGGTACAGGCTCACAACGTTAACAAGCTTGCGGAAGAAGATACATCGAGAATCCTTAAAATGCTGCTTGAATAGAAAATGCCTGGAGGCTCTGAGAATCGCCAAAAGAGTATCCACCAATTCGTAATATTTGCTGACCTCAAAAGGCTCGTATTTTGATGAAGCCAAACAGTCCAGTCCAGTCCAGTCTCTGAGCTTTCGGCGTAGAAAGCATATGACCAAAAATAGAGAGGGCCTTTGTTCAAGCAAAGGTAATAACAGGTTTCAATTTGTCACTTAACAAGTACTCCCAATGTGTCAATTCAACCCTGTCAACCCTGTCCCTCTGAATTTATTCAGCTCTTCACCTTGCGCAGGGGTCTCTGGGTTCTCACAAAACCTCAAATCGATTCAAGGTGGCACATCGTGTCTCATCGAGAAAAGGTTCATACAGCTTCGTGTTACTAGTAGCAATGGCCTCCACCTAGTAGCGTCCTTGCAGTTCATACATATTCATCTCTGCCAGTTTAAGCTCTATGCATCCACTCCGTATTTTCGCTCTGTGCACGGCGGAACATCTCCCATGCACAGCCCACACAAAGAACCAAGGACATTGCACCTGGAAAGAGCACAAAAGAAAATATGAACAATCACTGGAACAACGCTCCATCTCAGCTGGAAACTCAGAAGCAAGTTGTGCACCACCAAGATGCGATCCAACTTATAACCACCAGCAGGAACCTGAAAGAAACTAGTATCTGCCCACCACAGCTCTCAAATCTGGCTTCGTGTTTGGATCAAAGATTTGAAGTTCGTCTAAGCAGTAAATTGTAATCGAGAACAATGGGCTCAACTCCAATTGTCTAACACAATCTCCTTCGATCGGGTACACATACCTAGACTAGACCTAGACGGCACAGTCAAAGTCCCAAGGTTCATTTCACTGGGTTGAGGACAAATCTGGGTAGAATGAAAACCATGAGCAAATAGAGGACACCTGGCAATATGCACTTAGCCACTTAGCAAACTTGGCACATGTTGACTTCCTCCCAACATCTCCCAACTACCTAATCTCTCCAAGGAGAAGAGTAGAGTCTAGAAAAAATATGCTATGTCATGTTGGCCTGTGACGACTGGCAGGCTCCTTGAAGAGAATGCGGCTTCTTTCCAATCAAAGTCGTAGTACATGGCCTTCGAAAAGAAACGGTGGAAAGTGCAATGGTGAAGCGCCGTCGACAAGGAGACGTCTGAATTTGCAAGTTTACAAATTGAACCCAACTCATCGCTAGTAGGTTGGAGGCTATTGCTATTAGCTTCCTGTTGCTATTAGAACCCAAAGCCGGAGCCTGGCCTTGGAGCCTTCGCAGTCTGAGTGTTCAAGCGGCCACTCTGAAGGCTGACTTGAGCCCAACGCTGAAACATCAATGTGTAGAGTAACAGTCTACACTTTCCACGTGCACGCAAATGAATTCACCTCCTTGCAAATTGACAAGCAGTGACAAAACAAATGTCACATCGGAGTGAGCATTTTGTGCTAGGTAGTGGTCTTGGCATTCTCAAGACATTTGGAAGGGAAGCCACAATGTCCTGGCAAGCACTGCTTTGCCAGCCCATGAGTACTCGCGTGCTAGGTTCACAGCGCATCTAAGAAGCTTCTGCAGGTAGCTGTGTATGGCCACTGGCAAACACTCTTGTTTCCCAACCTTCATCTTGCAGACACTCTTGTTGAAGTGCTCTGCGGATGCGGGATCCAGCCCCAATGTCAAGGTAGCAATGACAGGATCGGGAGGAAGCGTCAGCAATCGCAAAGTGTCCTGAAATAGAAATGAGATTCAGTGGCCCAGCAAAAGAATCTTATCAGCAAAAATACTACAGTAACTATATATCATACCTATACATATAATTCTATAAATTACTGAATAGCAGGATTGAAGCCCACACCGATTGCTTGTGCGAGCCAGACTTTGGGCGCCTGAACGGACGCCACGCAAGCGTCGCAGGGCTCACTAGCCTGAAGCTTCCAGCATGGAGACAGCATCAGGAAGTGCAGGTTGGCATGCCTAAACATCCTAAATAAACAGCCTAAAGCTCTAAACTCTCAAGTTCTGCTTTGAAAAGGTTTTTAGAAGCTGTTCGAAACACCTCATCCTGCCTCAATATCTTGGGACAGCTTGGACTTCCTGAGCTGCTGAGGCATTTCTTGGCGGTTTGGAAAGAATCTTTGTGGAAAAACACGTCAGCTTCCATATTCAGGCGCCAGCTGGACCTTCACGGAAATCTGAGGGCCTCGGAGAATGCCACAGTACAGTTTAGAATTTCAACCCTAGCTGCTATAGCTGAGCACTTAGACACCTGCTGGTCTTGGGCGATGGTGGAGGTGCCGAGGCTTGAGGTGCCAAGTTTGGCTTGTTGGTCTCTTCTTGGAGCTGCTCCGACGGGGAGCTTTCCTCGAATGTTGCTTTCCTGGTCGATTGGCAAGCTGTGCTTGCTTCCAATTGCGAACCAGATTTATCTGGATTGCGATCTCCACCTTCCAAAAGAGAATAACAGAATAACACATGTTTCAATTGTTTCACATCTTCCAAGAAGGGTTTGCAAGGCTACATCGGTTTCGTTACCTCCCACCTTCCGGGTCATGTCGACGCCTTCTCAATCTCAATACAACTTTAGACCTCAGACGTTGGCATTGAGCTAGAAAGCTGGCAAAACGATACTGCATGCTACCTAGTCTGCCTGAGTCTGAAGCTGCTTGCAGTGTTCAGGGAAGTGAAGTGGATTGTCGTCTCCATTAATGGCCACGATCTGCATCAAGTTTCGTTGAATGTACTTTTTTCACATTGGAACCTGCTGGCCTGATCCCCTGCCACAATGTGCACCGAACGTGTCGCCTATGAACAGCATTGCTTCTGTAAGTGTGGCGGAAATCCACAGCGGATCCATCTGAGATAGGAGCCCGATTGTACTGGTCTACGAGGCTATCAGGAATCACCTGCGAGTACATGACTGCTGGGCTGCGATTGAAGCCAAAGACACACACACACAACCTCTGTGACTGTAGTACCACGAAGGTCTGGGGCGTTCCTTGGCAGAGGTGATGGATGTAATCCCCGGGGCATTTCGTGCCGTTCTGTGCTGCTACGATGCGGTCATGCTACGAGATGTTGGGTGAATGATGGGCGGATTTAGGGGTGGAAGAGTGGCCAGCGTTTACATACAGCCTGTGTAGGTGATACTGCAAGCTTAGTGTCTTTCGGCCTTGATGGGCCGATGGTCACATTGCACGTATATAAGTACCACGGCTTAAGTTTCATATAGTTTCATAACCAAACCAAAGACAAACACCAAAGAAAATAAAGAGTGGGGTGACTGGGCTCCTTGTCAGGGAAGGGACGTTCATAGTATTGAAGTCAAGTTTTCAGTATATTATGGGATCTCGGTAAGGATACGTTTGCAAAGGTGAATTGTGGGATCTCGGTTTTAATATTCCGGGGAAGGTGTTTATGATAATGGTGATCACTGGAAAGGAGAACAAATTGTGTACAATGGAGCAAGAGAAAACCGTGTGACGTAGGATGCCTTTGACACATGATGTTGTTCCGATCAAGATTGCCTTAAAGCGTGTGATGAAAGACGTCAAATGCAAAATACAAGAAAATACCAACACATAAACACGGATTGTCGAACAGAGTCAAAACATCCACTCTTCTCTTTACTGGTATAAAGTACCGTACCAAAATATACATATTGTGTAAGAAACTTGTTCACCCTCTCCAACATGTCCCCTAAAGTATTGTTTTATTTGTTTTTAATATACTGCTAAATCTAACTCTCCTGTATGTCCCAAAACCTTTGGTATATGATTGGTATTATTGGTGTGGTGGTGTATTTGGGATTGATCAATGTCTTGTTTGATTGAGGCCAAGACAGCAAGACAAAATTCAAAGCACACGCATGCCCCCAGCTCTGGTTTGTGAAACTCTAAAGAGGATTAAAGAACAGTTGCGGAGAAAACTACTTTTGACATTTAAGAACCATTTTTCCTGGCAACCATCGTAAATAGAAAAATACAAACAAACCCCATGGAAGGCCCGAAACTGAGACTAAATACATGGTTCAAAAAAAAACAAACACACAAAACACGGCAACGGCCTCCAAAAGACACTGGTCACGGCCACGGAGAAAACCACAAGGGCGAATAATATCAACGCATATCAACGCGGGACCATGCGTATATTTACACCGGAAAGCACACCGACATGCTAGCTGCAAGCAAGTCTCAACTCTCTAAAGATGGTGAACTGTTAGCGATTTTTTCCAAGCGCTAGTAGTAACAAGTGCCACGCTAGTAGTAACAGGTGCCTTACTAGTAGTAACAAGAAGCTATTAGTAACAAGTGCATCGCTAGTAGTAACAAGTGCCACGCTAGTAGTAGCATGTGACGCATGGCTCCTTGTTCTGGATTTGCCAAACTTTGCACAGTAGCCTTGACATGTTCGTGCTACACATGGATGCATCATTTAGAACCACACAATGTGGATGCCACTGCCAAAGTCAAAGTGCATATGTCAGCACAAGGTTGTGGGAACCGAGGCAAAGAAGCTAACATCAAGTTGAGAAGAGAAGATGGAGACGAGACTCTGGGAGACAGAAACTCAAGTCAAGTCCTCGGAAGAATCCCATTGACGAGCTTTCACTCACGCTCCCGACAAATGAAAACAATGTTCAGCACCGACGGACTTTGCAATGGCAGTCACTGCATGAGATCCCGGCGAACTTAAACGAAGGCCAAGACGGTCAGAAGTTGAAGATCGCTGGATGATGACCTACCACTGAGGACATCAGATTTAGCGAGTCGATGCAAATTGCAGGAATGGCAGTCAAAGTAAAAGTAGTTTAAAAAGTCACAAGGGTTCACAGTGGACAACGAATCTTATCGAATCTTCACACCCACCTCAAAGCTCGTCCAACTCGAAGGGTCCAAAGGTTCCTCACGAGTACCAGCCACAGGCTGCTCCTGTCATGCCAAGTTCACCTCATCTGAGCGCACACCTAGTAACAAGGACGCTACTAGTAACAAGGTGCATGACGCTACTAGTAGCTGAGGGCATTACTACCGGTTACCAGTAGCAAGAAGCTACTAGTAACAAGGTGCCAAGCGACGACATGATTCGCCTATCATTTCTGGTTCCCGGCCTTGGCTGGTGGAGTCGCTTCAGGGTGCCAGCGCAGCAGTCGCAATCTCAGCAATGAGATCTTGGGCTCGTAGAAACCATATCAATGTGAGTAATTACATGCTCTATTTGGATTGGTCGAACACCCCAGGTTCATGTCTTATTTCCCTGGGCATCAAGCCGAACCTTCTGCACCTCGCGAAGTCTCTGAAGGATTCGCGTGGGCTCCACCTTTGAGCGACCCGATACCACCATTTATAGTGACAACTACATTACATGTGTGTTTTTGATCGCAAAGCTTCAAGATATCAAGCATTTGTAGTTATATAGTAGTCTGTATCAGGGGTTTTAAGTTCAAACCTCCGGACTCCACACCTGGGTGGGATGCAGATTGAGCCCTGACATTTTGTCACGGTGCCGCCGATGTCGCATTGCTGATGAAACACTTATGTCCACCTGGTGTCTGACACAAGCTCTTGGCCGCCAGGTCCTTGTGACCTTCGGCCAAACTGGGTTGAGAAGACCTGCGGGATTGACAAAGGGTTGTTGTGGTTGTGTTGGTGTTAGGGCCTGAGCACTTGGCTGTTGCATCCTTCTGTGGATTTCTTCGAAAGTGCGGAGACCGCAGTCAGGCAGTCAGCCATGCTCTGGACTTGCAGTCAGGCAGTCAGCCACTCGCCGAACTGCTCTGGGATTGAGCTTGAATGTGTTTTCCTTGGGTTTGGTGGGTGTGCCGTATGATTGCCTGTGCTTAGGCTCTCAGTTGTGCTTCTCTGTGATCATGCCAATTTTTGTGCAGTTCTCAAATTTTCATGGACCTACGCATACCAGCATGCTTCAACTCGCTACCTTTACATGTACAGTAGTTTTCATTACGCACTTGGTGATCCCAAAGATCAACAGCAACACCTCACGGATGTGATTGCCACTTTTAGGCTAGCGGTTGCTTTGTAGCTCATGTATTCAAGTTGACGTGCTGCTAGTTTGCTTCGCTCTCCTTGCGGTCAACTTAGCCTTGTGAAAACTGAACTGCTTGAGCCAGAGCATAGATGTGGGGTCACCCCATACAACACCACCCATTTAGTGTCTTGGTGACATTCTTACAAAGCGATGACAATCTCCCTGACACACAAACACACACACACACATACACAATGCCAAGCCAATGCAATGCATGGCATGTCAAATGAAGATTGTCCACGGTGAAAGCATCATTGAACCTGGCCGGTGCGCCAGCCACGGCCACCAGCCTAGGCCAGTTATACTATGTTATACTCCATTGGCCATATTGTTTATCGAGCTTGGTCACTTTGGTCGAATCGATTGTCGTGCTTGGCTTTCTCTATCCTGGGCTTGGCTTTGGGAGACTAGTCCTGAAGCTGTTTTCCCTGGCTTTGCCGAGCTCTCCTCAAAGCTTTGCATTCCATCCAGCCTCTTGCGTGCCAAGTCTTTGGGTGTCCATTGAACTCTTGGATGCAAGAATCAAAACTGAGATTTGGACGACTCTCGTGATGCTTTCCAAGGTAGAAAATATAGGCACAATTGAAGGCAGATTTGAGTCTTTTGTGCCGGGTGATGTAAGGCTGCCAAGATGCTGACAAAAGCTGGATGTCTGATGTTCAATCTTGCATGTACCCTTTCTCACTTCCATTCCAGGGGGTTTTGTTGCAATGTCTCTTTGCATTGCCCATTCTGTTGCCTTAGTGATCATTGTTTTGCTCTGGCGTTACGGGATTCACCTGTGTGTGTCTCCCTGTTTGCGAATGTCCATGACACTGGGCATCTGGATTTCCATCAGACTGGCACTCAGACTTAGCCCCGCCCCGCCACCTGTGCCAGAAAGGCTCCCTTCTGCAAGCAAAATGGCAGTAAGTATATATAGCAGTAAGGGGTGCTCCACACAAGTTGAAAAGGAAGACTTGATGCCTCCTGGCCTCTGGCTCACAGCCCACCAAAAGATCTCCTGGCTGCACTTGCCACCTCAGTGCAGTATATAGTCAGGTTCAATATGATCTTGCTTATTTGATTTTTGTTGTATTTGGTTTCAATCATTAGTCCCTTGTCACTCCCGCTGTTGGGGCCGCTGCTGGGCCTCCTGGGCCTCATTCCATGTGACAATGGCTCCTGGGCCCTCAGATATTCAACGTGCCGAATGGAACAAGCAGCTCTCAAAACTTACGTGATAAAACTACGCGAGAAAAGTACAAAGCAGGAAGGGCCCTAGCAACAGCCCGAACACGAAGCACTGCATGATTGCAATTCCGTGGCCTGGAACTCCCACCGACCACAAGTATTGTCTCACTGAGCACTCATTTGCAATCCACACAACCGCAAACATGTCCAGCAAACAAAAGCCAAGCTGGAAGAGTGTAAGCTGAAGAGATTCCCTAAGGCTTTGGCCCGGACTGCGTGTACAACTCGAGACCCCAACCTTTCCAACAATTGGTCAGTCAAGCATTGTCAAGAATCAAAATACGTGCATGCCAAGATAGCTTATTCAATTGTAATCAGTAATCGATCCTCACACATTTTTGCTGACATTTCTTTGGACGCACGGCATGCATGCCTTCATTCTGGGTCTGTTCAACATCAATCTCCCAGACCTTGAGGTGCTAGCAACAGAATCTAGCTGCAAACGGCCACAGAATCCATTCGGGTGGGAGACTGAGAAGGTTCCAGGCCTTAGAATCTAAGTATCTCTAATCTAAGTATACTACTAGTAGCATATCTCTAAGTAACCCCAGTAGAACTGTTTCAAAGCTTGAGGAAGAAATGATTCTACTTGTACAGTAGGTAGGCAGAATGGTAGGCAAGCAACGTAACAGCGTGGTTACGTGGTTGGTTAAAAACAAACTGTTGCAAATCATTGCAACTGCTCCCAGGCACTTCTGGAGCACATTTTGCTGCATGCCGTGCGAAGTGCAACTCCTTGGCAGCACCAAACAGCAGTCTGCTGCAGCATGTCCAAAAGACTACCAATGCAAAGCAATGCCCCTGCAGCTGAGATCAAAAGGCTGTAGTGCGTTCTCAGCACTTGGCAACTTCTCCACTTGCCGTGGAAAGGTGTTCCATCTAAGACGCACAGATTTGTCAAATGGAAAAGGGATAACACAGTGCGTCTTTCATTAGTAGAAACAAGTGCCACGCTACTAGTAACAAGTGCCTTACTACTTCAGGCAGACAAAAGTTTACGTTTGTTAGCCTTCTTACAAAACACTCTGAGGTCAGCGGCGGATCAAATTAACAAGTCTAATTTTCGTGGCAGGTGTGGGACGGTCAATTATCACACTCTTTTAAATTTATAGTAATAAAAAACTTTCCGGGGTGACAAATGACCGCCCACACCTTCCCTTGTGTCATGGTGTAGGATTCTAGGGGGATAGGGTTGTCATGAGTTTCAACATCAAGAAGCGCAACTTTCTTCTGGCCAGTGCGTTAAAAAAGGGGTGTTGCATTGACAGGTAACTGATTGGTCGTTTTTTAAGTGAAATGTCAATCTATAAAGTACTCTGTCCTCTTTACAGCTATATATTTACCAAACATATCAATATACGTATAAATATAAATAGACCAGCGGTTGAACGGATGCACGTTTTGTACATTTTTGCTCTTCGCTGCCCTGCGTTAAAAAAGGGGTGTTGCATTGACAGGTAACTGATTGGTCGTTTTTAAAGTGAAATGTCAATCTATAAAGTACTCTGTCCTCTTTACAGCTATATATTTACCAAACATATCTATATACGAATAAATATAAATAGACCAGAGGTTGAACGGATGCACGTTTTGTACATTTTTGCTCTTCGCTGCCCTGCGTTAAAAAAGGGGTGTTGCATTGACAGGTAACTGATTGGTCGTTTTTTAAGTGAAATGTCAATCTATAAAGTACTCTGTCCTCTTTACAGCTATATATTTACCAAACATATCTATATACGTATAAATACAAGTAGTTCCCGGGCAAGCCGGCGGCGGAAGTTTCCTATAAGAACACATTGACCTATAGGAGTGTCCACGTTCTCTCCACCATGCGTGTCCCTCGTGTCACTCACTGAGCCAAACACATGCGCTCCGGACTGTTGGCACACACACACACACAGCGCCACCTGTGCAAGGTCTGTGCTCCCTGCAGGATCAGCGCACTGGGTTGTGTCTATGCCAAAGCAAGATCACCAGCCCACACCGGCGTGCTGAAGCAACTGGGCATCTGCAAGCGAAAGTTAAGTGCAGCTGGTGCGGGCACGCGAAGTGGGTGGTGTTTTCAAAGTCAAAATCATGTCTTCATTGTCCAGCTTGCCAAATACTCCGCGTACTTTACAGTTGTACTACAAAGTCGCCAGTTCTCATTTTCCAGCTCCCCAGATACTCAGCAGCGAGAGATGACTCAGGAGCAAGAGATGACTCACCAGCGAGAGATGACTCATCCGCGTACGAAAGTTGTACTACAAAGTCGCCAGTTCTCAGCTTCTAGCTGCACAGATTGCTCCGCGTACTCAAGTTGTAGTACAAAGTCACCAGTTGCTCTCTGGCTTGCTAGCTAGCGCCTTCAAACCATGGTCAGCTACATGTACGGATCCCAAAACAAAAGCAAGTCACACCCAGTCAACCCAGTCCAACCGCTGGTTCTTTCCAAACAGTGTCCCTAGTCATGGTCAGCTATACGTACAGAATCCAAAACAAAACAAATCATACCCAGGCAGCCCAATCCGACTGGACGGGTTCCAAAACAAAAACAACATGCGTGTCCCTGGTCAGTCGCATGCCCTCCGGACTTTTTGACCACCACAGTGCCACCTGTGCAAGGTCTGTGCTATACCAAGGCAAGATCGGCAGCCCACACCGGCGTGCTGAAGCAACTGGGCATCTGCAATTGAAAGTTAAATGCAGCTGCTGCGGGCACGCGAAGTGGGTGGTGTTTTCAAAGTCAAAACCATTTCTTCCAACATTTGGTGTGCTCCTCCGTGCAAAAACAGCAAAACTGTTCCTCGTCGGGCAACGCATTTTCCGGCTGTCTGCGCGGTCCACAGTGACGCACGCAGATCGATGCCTCCCGACAAGAGCCAGGAATGGTTCACCCAGCGCCTCTGGCAGGGCAAGGTGGAACAACGGGCGGCGGGGGTGGTTCTCTAGCTACGAGGGTGGTGACATGACGTTGGTCACACCACCGCGCGTCGGAATGAATTTAGTTACAGAGGATTTCGAATTTACAATTTCCACCGCAACGCAGGTCACCACACCACACGCCACGCAGAAAAGCATGAGTGCTTCAACACTCGCGCGCCAACTCTGACAGTCTGCTTGTGATTCGTCTGATTCTGCGTGTTTGCTGTGTCTCTAAACTCACGCTCTGCATTCAGTGTACAGTACATGGACACGGCTGCGGAAAGCTTGCCTTTCGTCTCATGCCTTCATTCCATGCCTACAGCGCAACACGCATCTACAGCGCAGCGTCCCAGCCCACAACTTGCGTACTCCACGCCTGTAACCTTCGTCGTCGTCGAAATCAGCGGTGATCTCTTCAGAGACGGCTCAGCAGTGAGAGATGACTCAGCGGCGAGAGATGACTCAGCAGCAAGAGATGACTCCCCAGCGAGAGATACGTCAGCAGTGAGAGACGACCCAGCCGCAAGAGATGACCCTGCAGCGAGAGATGGCTCAGCAGCGAGACATGACTCTGCAGTGAGACATGACTCCGCAGTGTGACAGGACTCAGGAGCGAGAGATGACTCAGCAGCGAGAGATGCCTCATCCGTATACTAAACTTGTACTACAAAGTCGCCAGTTCTCAGCTTCCAGCTCGCCACATACTCCGCGTACTAAAGTTGTACTAGAAAGTCGCCAGTTCTCAGCTTCCAGCTCTACAGA